GGAACCGAAGAACAGGTAAGCCAGACACGTCGTGCTCCTTTGCAGTGATCTTTCCAGAGGTGGGTTCGTCGGCGTTGAACGAACACTAGGGCCATCACCTCGATGGTCAGAGTCTTGCAAGAACGGTTCCATTCTACGATTTTACGAGGCGTGCCACATAGGGAAACCGTCCTTAAGCTGATGGCGGTGGTGGCCGGTTTGGAACTACTCATTCACAATTTTACTGCTTTCTCAAGAGTTAGTGTGGGTTTGAGGTGAACTGAAAATTCCACAAGTTTTGGAAAACCTTGGTAAACTAAAGCATATTCACCTATTCCATGGACCAAAAAGTTTAGAATTACATCAAAATGTGATATATAAAATAGAAACAAAAAACGAAATCGTGCGTCTACGAAAAGATGATGGAATGGGTGCGGGAGACAAATCCCCCTCCGCGCACGTTCCGACGCGCTGTGCTAAACTTCGTAATGATGCTTGCCATAAGTTATGGGCAGGGACAACCGTGCGCTTCGCACTCCAAGGGGGTCGTATTTGGGGTAGGTGAAGACAGAAGGGTTGGAAGGAGGTCGCCTATTTGGAAGTTAAAGGGGTCGTGGGAGTAGTGGGTGGTCGGTTTAAAAGGGTTTTCTAGAATTTCAGGAAAATTTTGAAAGGTAGGCATAAAAGGGTCAAAGTTAGAGGATTCGCCGCTTCATCAGATGGTTTACTCCTTGCTCGACAGACGGCCATTTTGAAGGGAGGAAAAGCTCCGGTGTTAAGCTGTCCCGACTGGACTCATCCACTCGAATGGAATCATCCAAATCAAATTCCATAAAAACAGCCATGGTGGGCGGGTATCGAAAACGGTTGTGTCGAAGTTCCTCTAAGAGGGGGGTGTCAAGTTTAGAACCGAAACACCGCAAATATCAACGAAGCTTTTGAACCGGTCTGAGTTGGATAGATTGCAATAGGGACTTTCTGGAAGCAACTGTTCAGGCGATTCCATGGTAAGGCAAAATACGCCAAAGGGATAGGGCCAACCAATGAGATTTTTGCGAGGTTAGGCGCAACTACCTTTCCCCTACCCCTTTCATACGATCGTAACGTTTGAGAGTTCTTACCATTTTTTTGACGTTCTTTCATCGATGATTCACCGACCAGCACAGATATCCACATTTCCTTTCTTTTTCGGAGGCAGTAACTTATTCCTATTTAGTCACTGGATTAGCCTTCAAGTATGATTTCGCAGAAAAGCGTCACGTGATTAATTTGGATTTGTGAGTGAGTGGAGTTCAGAAGCAGATAGCTGTAATTGTCTGAGCTGCATGTACTAAGATATATTGCATCTGATCTGATGTCTAATTTTGCTGTTTTTTTTTCGTACATATGAACTGACAAGATTTTTCAGTGCTAGTGAACGCAGAGACAAGAGGGTCGAGCGATTTTGTTGGTGTCATTGAACGTCATTGGTGGGCCAAGCCCATCGCGTTGGAGGTGTGCTTGCCAGTAGCCCTCAACACCCTTCTACAAATAACGCTCAAAGACGTCAGCAAAATCCTCCAACCATTGCGTTCACTGCCTTTAATATTATGTTTCAGGCATGCCATCACCATGTGCCGTCTGCGAAATGCCGTCGAGCGGCTTACATTTCGGTGTATCCTGCTGTCGAGCATGTGCTGCATTCTTCAGACGTACTCTATCGTTACGACTCAAGTATAAATGCCGTTTCTCGAGAAAATGTGAAGTCACTCAAAGTAAGTTTATGGTTCATTATATAGAAAACTTAGCTAAGAATTATCCGGTTGGTGAGCTTCCTGCGATGTGACCAAGATCAAGCGCAGTGTCATTTATCTGTTCTGAAATCCTCAACCAAAATATCGAATTATTATATTTTTCATTACGGGGGCGGGGTCACCAATGGAAGAGGCTCTGTAGGTAAAGATACGCTACGGGATTATGCGCCCTCACCTGTTAAATCCCATGAGTAGTAGACAGGCGGACAAGCGTTGATGTCGCGCCCTTTTGCGGCTTGAAAGTGCGTGACAAAGGCGCAAGGAGTTCGTCCTACCCGCAACCCACACCTTCGTCCGCAGACGACCAATGCTGTAACGAAGGTTGATACGGGTTTCTAATCTCATCTGAGATGAC